GGGGGGGACTTAAATTTGCTGAAGCTCAGGAGCACGTTCGGTTTCCGAGGCAAAGTTCAAAAACAGGAGCACCTATTTCTGGGTTTCCAAATGATGAATCAACAGAAGCATAGTCAATCTATGGACTTCCCTTTTTTTGAAATATTTTTATTGGTTTTTACAAATGCAAGTTTATATCAAAGACATTTATATAATCATTTCATGAGATTCTCTGAATCACATGACTTCACTCCATTCCTTTCATGGGTCCTTATATTACCGTATTTTTCGCTCCGTAAGGCATACCGGACCTTAAGACGCACCTAGTTTTCAGAGGGGGAAAACAGGGAAAAAATATTCTGAATCAAATGTTGTACTAAACTATTTAAGAAACTACTGGTATATCAGAGTGAGACTAAGAGGGACAGGAACTGTATGTTTGTTTAGTGTGCAGGCTCAAGGAGCCAGCGGATCAGCTGAGACGTGGGGGATTTGCGTAATTTCCCCCTCTCCCTCATCCTCTGCCCTCCAGTCCCCAGCAGCCTTCCTTTTTTACCTCCTGATTTTCACTGCGCTTGTGGCTCAGAGCTTGAGGTTGGGTTTTTTTTGCTGCTGGTTGCTTAAATTTTATCCTTCCCCTCCTGTGTCCTGCCGTCCCTCTGCAGCCTCATTGCTCCGTTCAGGGAGCGGGCGGACCTTCTGCAGCTGTTGCTGGCTACGCACCACTTTTCAAAGTGCCTTCTGGCTTTGAATCACCTGCCTCCCTTTGCTATTTTACTCAAGGTATTTGCCCTGTGCCTGGGGGATTTTTCCATTTAACAGTTTGCAGCCTCTTCCTTCCGTTGCTTGTTTTGAGGCAGGATAGATTTGAGCAAGATTTGAACTCCTCAATGCCTTCTTTGCCTCAGTCTTCTCCGATAAAGAAAACAATGCCCGACCTGAAGAATTTGGAGCAAATGATTCAGCAGAGGAAACACAGCCCAGAATAACTAAGGAGATAGTACAAGAATACTTGGCTAGTTTAGATGTATTCAAGTCTCCAGGGCCAGATGAACTGCATCCAAGAGTATTAAAAGAACTGGCAGATGTGATCTCAGAACCACTGGCAGTCATCTTTGAGAATTCCTGGAGAACAGGCGAAGTCCCGGCAGACTGGAGGAGGGCAAATGTTGTCCCTATTTTCAAAAAGGGGAAAAGAGAGGACCCAAATAATTACCGCCCAGTCAGTCTGACATCAATACCAGGGAAGATTCTGGAGCAGATCATTAAGCAAACAATATATGATATATGATATTCTTGTAAAGAAGCTGGTAAAATGCGGTCTTGACTATGCTACCACTCAGTGGATTTGTAACTGGCTGACTGACCGAACCCAAAGGGTGCTCATCAATGGTTCCTCTTCATCCTGGAGAAGAGTGACTAGTGGGGTGCCACAGGGTTCTGTCTTGGGCCCGGTCTTATTCAACATCTTTATCAACGACTTGGATGATGGACTCAAGAGCATCCTGATCAAATTTGCAGATGACACCAAACTGGGAGGGGTGGCTAACACCCCAGAGGACAGGATCACACTTCAAAACGACCTTGACAGATTAGAGAACTGGGCCAAAACAAACAAGATGAATTTTAACAGGGAGAAATGTAAAGTATTGCACTTGGGCAAAAAAAAAAGAGAGGTACAAATACAAGATGGGTGACACCTGGCTTGAGAGCAGTACATGTGAAAAGGATCTAGGAGTCTTGGTTGACCACAAACTTGACATGAGCCAACAGTGTGACGCGGCAGCTAAAAAGCCAATGCAATTCTGGGCTGCATCAATAGGAGTATAGCATCTAGATCAAGGGAAGTAATAGTGCCACTGTCTTCTGCTCTGGTCAGACCTCACCTGGAGTACTGTGTCCAGTTCTGGGCACCACAGTTCAAGAAGGACACTGACAAACTGGAACGTGTCCAGAGGAGGGCAACCAAAATGGTCAAAGGCCTGGAAACGATGCCTTATGAGGAACGGCTAAGGGAGCTGGGCATGTTTAGCCTGCAGGGGATTCGCCATTAGCTGTGTAGAAGCGCTCCTCCTTGCAGCCTTCTACGTTGTTTGTACACGTGGCTACTGGTATCAGGTTCAGTTTGAGTAATAAGCAGCCACTGGCAGCAATAGAATGGAGCATAAAAAAGGATTAGGGGCACTGGGACCCAGACAATGCTCAAATCTATCCTGCCTCAAAACAAGCTGTAGAAGTAAAAAGCATGCTCTCCCTCCCCTGCCCCTCATCCCGTGCCCTCCCCAGCCTTTTTTATAGCTTCCTGGTTTTCACTGCGCTCGTTGGCAAGGTCGTGTCTCTACTTTTTCATTTTATACCATTTCCCAAAATGATACTGTTATCTTACATGACCACCACATATAGCAAAAGGTATCCACTTCTTCTTTACATTTCCAGCAGATATTTGAACTTACTCTATACGTTTTAGATAACTTACTAGGAGTCAGATACCACTAGTACATCCTTTTCATGTAGTTTTCTTTCCATGTACAGCAAGCTGTGAATTTCAGATCTGTTTTCCCAAGCCTCTCCCAATCTGCCATTTGTATGTTATGTCCTAAGTCCCTTTCCCATTTCGTCATAACTGCTTTGACCTGTTCATCTTTTGTATACCGTTCTAGGAGCAAGTTATACATTTTAGACAGAACTTTTTATGTTACTTCCTAAGAGTTCTTTTTGAAATAGTGATGTCTCATAACTAAAACTGTTCTTTTTGTCTATCTTAAAGATAGCGTTTAGATGATGATACTATAAGTAGTCAGTTACAGCTTCCTTTTATCTCTTCAAAATCTTTTAATTTCAGTTGGTTTTCAACTTCAGTTAACAGCTCTCTATAAGTCGGCTGATAACTTCTCATATTCAATTTTTTTCAGAGATATTACTTCCAAGGGGGAAAGCCACCAGGGTGTTTTTTACTCAAGCAAATTTTAATACTTCTCCCATACCCTACAAATTGGTTTTCTTACTATATGATTCTGAAAAGCTCTAAACACCTTGGCCTTTTCCTACCATAAATATGCATGCTATCCATTATTTGTGTCCTTCCAGATCTAAAATACAGTATCTGTGTTTTCCAATGTAATCCATTCCCGGTTCTAGCAGATACAGGACGCTTCATAATAAAGTTTCAAACCCGGCAGGGCGAAACCTCCTCTCTTAATAATTTATTTTTTATACTTGGTTTCGTCCCTTGTCAGATAAACCTAGATATATCTTCTTGCCATTTTTCAAAGCATCCTGCGTTGCCTATTGCCTGGACTGATTGGAATAAAAATAACATTTTTGGCAATACATTCATTTTTATTACTGATATTCTTCCTCAAAATAAGAAATTCATTCTTCCCCATATCTCTAAAGCTCTTTTTATTTCTTTCCACTCATTCTTGTAATTGTCTTTAAAAATATTTATATTCTTAGCTGTCAAACAAATCTCTCAGTATTTGACTTTGTTATGTATAACTAACTCTGTTTTCTGTTGAAATTCCTTTTGGTCTTGCTCCATTGTGTTTTTTACCAAAAACCTAGTATTATTCTTGTTTAGTTTAAAGCCTCCGGCCTGCCTGAAGTCCTATATCTTTTTTTACTACCTTTGGTGGAGTATTTATGGGATCCTTCACTGTAATTACAACGTGAACTGTAAAAGCTTTTAATTTATATACTTTATTTTCTACTATTATTCCTGTAATTAATTTCTCCACTTTTTCTCTCTCGCCAGGGCCTCCAATACCAAAATAAATGATAATGGTGATAGGGGCTATCCCTGTCTTGTCCCCTTCATTATTTTACACTTTTCTGTTATAACCTTATTAACAATCAGCATAGACTGTTGGTAAAAATAAATTGCATCAATTCCTCTCCCAAATGCTTCCCCAAAATTCATTTTTTCATCTTTTTCATAAAAGCCCATGAAACATTATCAAAAACCTTTTCAGCATCTATAAACATTAAGGCCGCTTTTTTCTAATTTCTTACTTCCAAATATTCAATAATTTCAATTATATTCCTTATATTCTCCTTCATCTGACGTCCTGGTAGAAAGCAGGCCTGATTGTGATGATTTTTTTCTGCTAAAACACCTTTCATTCTATTGTCCAAAATATGATCAATACTCTAAATGGAGTATTTTTCTCGCCTTTTAGTTCAAGAATTATTGAGTTGTGGTCCAAAAGCGTTCTTGGTTGTATTTCTGCTTTTTTAATCTATGGAATTCCATCCTACAGGAGACAGCGATGGCCAACAACTTGGATAGCTTGAAAAAGAGGATGGGACTGATGTCTGCTCTGCCCTCACGGTCCTAGGCAATAATGCTTCTTAATACTAGTTCCGGGAAAGCACAGGAAGGCAGAGGGCTCTTGTACTCAAATCCTGCTTGCTGGTTTCCCACAGGCATCTAGCTGGCCACTGTAAGAACAGGATGCTGGACTAGGTGGGCCTTTGCCCAATCGAGCAGACTGTTCTTATGTTCTAATACAGGCATCCCGAAACTTGGCCCTTCAGATGTTTTGGGACTACAACTCCCATCATCCCAAGCTAACAGGACCAGTGGTCAGGGATGATGGGAATTGTAGTCCCAAAATATCTGGAGGGCCAAGTTTGGGGATTCAAATATATTGCAATATTTTTACAGTTACATGTGGCATAGTAACACTAAAGTTTTACTTCTTAGACATAGGAGAGACTGCTACTCGATCCAGTAATCATTTCCTCCCTGGGAAAAGAGAAATACAGAGATGTGTCTAAGAAGCCAATTCCACGATAGATTATAAAATAATGCAGTTTATTAAGTGTGAATGGAGTGATCATGTGTTGTTCTTGCCATTATCTCATCTGCATTCCTAAAACTTTGGAACATAGAGAGGACAATAGAGAAATGGGACAGTGTTAAAATAGGAGAAGGTGCATATTTGGATTGACGTGTGTTCAGTTTCTTTATTGTAAGTCTTAACAGGATTCTCTTCCCCTTCCTCCCCACTCCCAAACAGATGAGGAAGATGATAGCCAGAATTCTATGGAGCCATCAGTGAATTCATTGGGAAGAACAAAGAAACAGTTTAAATGCATGGAATGTGGGATGTGCTTTAGTCACAGTGGAAGACTGAGGACACATCAACGAATTCACATAGAGGAGAAACCATTTAAATGTACTGACTATCGAAAGAGCTTCAAGGAAAATGGAACTCTTAGAAAACATCAAGGAACTCACACAGGGGGGAAACCATTTGAATGTACTGAATGTGGAAAGTGCTTCAGTAGAAGTGGACACCTTAGAATACATCAACGAACTCACACAGAGGAGAAACCATTTAAATGTATTGAATGTGGAAACTGCTTCAGTCAAAATGGAAACCTTAGAATACACCAACGAACTCACACAGGGGAAAAACCATTTGAATGTACTGAATGTGGAAAGAGCTTCAGTCAATATGCAACACTTAGAATACACCAACGAACTCACACAGGGGAGAAACCATTTGCATGTATTGAATGTGGAAAGAGCTTCAGTCAATATGCAACACTTAGAATACACCAACGAACTCACACAGGGGAGAAACCATTTGCATGTATTGAATGTGGAAAGAGCTTCAGTGAAAGTGGAGCACTTAGAAGACATCTACAAACTCACATAGAGGAGAAACCATTTAAATGTATTGCATGTGGAAAGGGCTTCTGTAGAAGTGGAACACTTAGAAGACATCAACGAACTCACACAGAGGAGAAACAATTTAAATGTATTGAATGTGGAAAGAGCTTCGGTAGAAGTGAACACCTTAGAATACATCAACAAACTCACACAGGGGAGAAACCATTTAAATGTATTGAATGTGGAAACAGCTTCAGTCAAAGTGGAGCACTTAGAATACACCAACGAACTCACACAGGGGAAAAACCATTTGAATGTACTCAATGTGGAAAGTGCTTCAGTAGAAGTGGAAACCTTAGAAGACACCAACGAACTCACACGGGGGAGAAACCATTTGCATGTATTGAATGTGGAAACAGCTTCAGTCAAAATAGATACCTTAGAATACATCAACGAACTCACACGGGGGGAAAACCATTTAAATGTGTTGAATGTGGAAAGAGCTTCAGTGACAGTGGACACCTTAGAAGACACCAACGAACTCACACAGGGGAGAAACCATTTGCATGTATTGAATGTGGAAAAAGCTTTAGTCAAAATGTAATACTTAGAAGACATCTACAAACTCACATAGAGGAGAAACCATTTAAATGTATTGAATGTGGAAAGAGCTTCAGTAAAAGTGGACACCTTAGAATACACCAGCGAACTCACACGGGGGAGAAACCATTTAAATGTACTGAATGTGGAAAAAGCTTCAACAGGAAGGATAAACTTACATTACATTGGCAAACTCACACAGCAGAGAAGCTTTAGTCAATATGGAACCTTAGGAAATATCCACTAATTTACATGGGGAGGTCTTAATACAGTGGTACCTCGGGTTAAGTACTTAATTTGTTCCGGAGGTGTATTCTTAACCTGAAACTGTTCTTAACCTGAAGCACCACTTTAGCTGTTTGGGCCTCCTGCTGCCGTCACGCCGCCACCACACAATTTCCATTCTCATCCTGTAACAAAGTTCTTAACCCGAGGTCCTATTTCTGGGTTAGCACAGTCTGTAACCTGAAGCTTATGTAACCTGAATCGTATGTAACCAGAGGTACCACTGTATAGTACTTTCTAGAGCAGCCTTTCTCAACCTGTGGGCCCCCAGATGTTGCTGAACTACAACTCCCATCACCCCTAGCTAGCAAGGCCAGAGCTCAGGTATGATGGGAGTTGTAGTCCAACAACATCTGAGGACCCACAGGTTGAGAATCGCTGCTCTAGAGGGTTTCCTGTTGGAATTATTAGATTGTCTGCTAAGGCTCTGACCTTATAGGCCCTTTGTCCAACTTTAATTCCTTCTATTCTAGGGTCTTCTCTTACTGCTTTCAAAAACACTTCCGGAAGTGTGATAAAGAGGAGAGGAGAAAGAGGGCAGCCCTGTCTTGTTCCCTTAAGAGATATTAAAAGCTTCTGATGTTTCACCATTTATAATTAGTCTGACCCTTTGGGAAATATAAATCGCTTTTATACCACTACATATTTTCTCACCCAAACTCATCATTTCCAAAGTGTTTTGCATGAATGCTCCCAAAACATGATCCAATGCTTTCTCCGCATCCACCAAGATCAGGGCTGCCTTTTTATCTGGTCTCATTTCTAGGTATTCTATTGTATCTACTACCAATCTTACGTTGCTGTAAATTTGTCTTCTCCATAGTAAGCCTGACTTTATTAATCTTTATTAATCTTTATGAATCTTGCCAGGATCTTTTTCAATTTATTGGCAAAAATGTTTGCAAATAATTTATAATCTGAACTTAGAAGTGAGATTGGTCTATAATTTTTAATTTACTCTAAATTGGATCCATATTTCAGTATTAATGTAATTAGGGCCTCTTGCCATTATTCTGGCACATGTCCTCCTTCTAAAATTTTGTTCATTACTTTTTCTAATACCGGTAATATTGTCTCTTCCAATTTTTTGTAATTCATTATAGAAATACCATGTGTACCGTACCAGGGACTTTACCATTCTTAGAAGTCACAATTCCTTCTTTTATTTCATTAATATTAATAGGGGCATTTAAGTATTTCTATTCTTTCTCTTATTTTTGGCAATCTATTGTTTATAAAAAAAATTCCTATTTTTTCGTCAAGTTCTTCCAGCTCATTTCCATTTCTGTTGTTGTTTTGCAGCAGATTTAGTTAATGTGAAAGCACAAAAGAACCACAAAGAATCTTGAGGCAGGTTACACATTTATTCCAGTTCAGTCTTTGGTTATTGACATTTCTATCCCACAACCCTATCCACCTAGCAGTCTGCCTCTCTCCCCTGCCCCTACAAGCCCATCAGTAAAAACTTCTGCAGAGACACTGGGGATTGTTCCATGACAGTTGTCACTTGTTGACAATGCAGAAGGAGGCCACCTTGGTGCACCCAGAAGATACCAGATGTTGGTTGTAGTTACGTCTATACAAAGTGCATATCCTTTGACCCTCCATAAAGAAAGAAATGGGGGGGAGACAAGAGCTGGAATAGCTGAGTAGAAGGAAAGGTAACCTTGGAACTTCATGTTGATCGACCACCTCAGCTCCCTGACCCCAAGACCAGTCCAGGGAGGCAGGTGAGCATTACAGCTAAACCCCACATTATGCTCTCCAGTAGCTATTCCTTCAGACAGGCCTATTTTCATTCAGTTCTTAGTGTGTCCATGGGTGGGTGTGTTTTACGTTTCCTTTCCCCCCTTCCTTGCAGTCCTGACAAAAACTAACCTCCACGCCAATGCTTTCAGCCCCAGAACAGGAGCTCCCCTTGGTGTCAAGGGAGGGGGGGGTCCAAGGGAGCATCTGGAGCCCTGCCATTCCTTCTGACGCTGGTCCTTTCCCTTCCTCTCTCTGCCACCCCAGGGCCACTCTTGACTCCCCAGCAGGAGACTGGATCTGTCTGTGATGGTGAGATTCCTTGCTGGTTGAAGGACCACTTCCTGTTTCCTGGAGCTCCATCCTTTCTCATGCCAGGTGGAGTCATGAAGCAGGTGAAGACTGAGCACACCTAAGGGCAACATGGGGGGGTGGGTTCTGCTTAACCTTTCCCCGTCTGCTCCTTTTCTGGATCAAAATCCCCAGCTAATCTGTCAAGCTGCTGCTGCTGCTGCCTGTCACTGTTCCTGTGTCTCTGGAGTGTTTCTTTGAGGAGAATACAGGACATGGCAAAAGACATTGTGTGTATTGAGTGTGCAATAAGGTAGACAGAGGCTGAGCCCTCCCTGTAATGCAAACAGGGAGACTTCTGTCCAGGAGATTTCTGTATAAAAAATTCTTTGCTGAGGTGGAAGTGGGGACTAAGTGTTATGTATTGACGTTCTCATCCTGGCCACCAGGGGTATTGTGTATATAGTTTTCACTCGGGTCCACATCAGTCAATTTAGGCGGGAAACCCTGGGTTGCTGAGCTGTTTGCTGTTCAGTTCAGTTCCAGCTTACTATAAAGAACCACTTGGAGAAATCTCTGTGGCGTCTGCTATGTCCACCCACAATTTAATACTAAGTGAGATTGGAGTAGAACCATGTTTGCATGAACATGAGAAGGCAAAATATGTTCTCCATTTAAATATTTATTAAAATAATTTATTCAGTTACCCAGAAGAGTTATTAGGCTCTTTTGCCATAAGCTACTTCATACATTGTAAGAAGTGGGTCCTGAGACCCTTGATCCCCTTCCTTAAAATACCATCTGAAGAATATTGGAGAAGCAAATAAAGAGTTTATTGAGGACAATAGGTAAAGGTAAAGGGACCCCTGACCGTGAGGTCCTGTCGAGGATGACACTGGGGCTGTGGTGCTCATCTCACTTTACTGGCCGAGGGAGCCAGTGTACGGCTTCTGGTTCATGTGGCCAGCATGACTAGGCCGCCTCTGGCGAACCAGAGCAGTGCACGGAAACGCCATTTACCTTCCCGCTGGAGGTAATAAAAATGTAATACATGTTCATAAATGTACGAAGCAAACACATACATAGATATGTGGACCACATGTCTGGAGCAGCACAGGAAAAGCAACAACATTCAAATTAGTGTTGTAGACAGCCTTTTCTGTGATGTATGTATGATGTATGGAGGAGGGGTGGTCTTGAGCTCCAGGGCAGGGAATTTAAAAGGGCTATATAAGGGCAGGCACACCTTTGTTCGAGGTCCTCCTCCTTTCTCCTCCATGTGAGGGGAGCAACCTGTTGCAACAGTTCAATAAAGATCAGGCTTACTAGCTGCTTTGCTTCTCAATATTCTCTGGTTGGCCTCTGTTATTTTCTCCCACTGATGGAGAACCAGCAAAGGACTCTGTAAAGGCTCTTGTGTCCCCCATAAGAGCATAAGGGCAGATTTTGTTTACAACAGGTACCTATTTATCTTCTTGCACTTTGTGCTTTCCAATTGCTAGGTTGGCAGGAGCAGGGACCGAGCAACGGGAGCTCACCCCTTCGCGGGGATTCAAACTGCCAACCTTCAGATCGCCAAGCCCTAGGCTCTGGGGTTTAACCCACAGCTCCAGCCGCGTTCCTTATTGAGGACAATACGTTCTTGCAAAAGTGGGGGTCCAAAGCAGGCACAGTCCAGCTGGGGCAAAGAAAGAGCTTAGATTCCCCATGCACACGTTTCCTCCCTCGCCTTCCCATTGGTTGGGTGCTACAAGGTTTTCCTTCCCCCGATTATCAAATAACAGACAAGAGGCTGAGCGTGGAGAGAAACCTCTCCTTCCTCCTCAGAGTTGCCTCCACTTCCGGCTTCACCAGCAGAGATAATCTCCGGGCTTGCAAAGGAAGGAGGGAAGGAGGCGGGAAGCGGGGCTGCATCGTGCGGAGGCTGAGGAGGGGCTGCTTCCTAATCAAGCCTCCTAATTAAGCGCGTCACTCCCTGCCTCCCACGCGGGGGCTCCCATTCCCGCCCCCGCTGCCCAGGATGTCGGGTAATTTCGCCAATGGCGGGGAAGGAGGGAAGGGGCTTTGCGAGGGGGTCCAGGATGAGAAGCCCCGGGACGAGGAGAAGAGAAGGGAGGAAAGGGAGCTGTTTTCTTAAACGGGGGGCCTTGAAAGGGGGGGGGGAGAAGCTTCCTCCTGCATGGATCTAGTACAAAGGGAGTTGCAGGGAAGGAGGCGGGCAAGAGGAGAGGGGTGGACACTGCTGGCCAGGATCGCCTTAATAGTATTAATTAAATTTAATATTTATACCCCAGCAGAAGACCCCTCGGAGGAGGACCTTATCTTTAGGCAACAGGCGAAAGCCTTGCTCTTCTCCCAGGTGTTTGGCTCATTAAACAATCTATGGACTGCACACCTGCATGGGGGGGGGGTTGTCGTTTTTATTTCTTACTCTGCTATGCATCTCTGTGTTTTTCTCTTGTAAGCTGCCCTGTGATCTTTGGAGAAATGGCAGTATAGAAATGTGAAGAATAGCTGTAAAAATAGGAAGCCCTCTTGCGTTCAAGGGGGGGCGGGTTTGGACAAAGTCTCTGATCAGCATGCATAACAGGATGGGCTTAGGAGGGAATAATACTAATAAGAATAAGAGTAAAATAAAAATAAATAATTCATTACTTGCAGCCTGCCCATCTGATTCCGTTGCCTCAGCCACTCTGGGCGGCTTCCAACAAAAACACCAAAAAAATTAAAACATGAAAAACTTTCCTGTACAGGGCTGCCATCATAAGACTACTGTTTTGTAGAAATGGCCTTCAAATAGAAAGAAATGCCCTCTTTAAGGAGTCCCGTGGTGTAAACGTGTATGTTGTCCTCTAGGTCCAAACACATAGTAAGAGCAAGAAGTGCTCCAAAGTGCTTCTGTTGTGAACTTGCCATCTAACTTGTTTACTCCTGACCAAAGTTCCTGTTTCCCAAAAGGACTGGAGGGGGGCTCCTCACCACTTTTAACCCCCCCCCACTCCCACCGCATGGAAGGCAGAGGACGTGTTCATTCACAATCCCAGTAAACCATGTGTGTATCTGAAGTGAACCAGGCGCTGCAGCTCCTTCCCCTCTCACTGGGCTGCAGAGGAGGAAACGGATGGGTTTGAAGGCTCTTCCTGCCTCTCTCCCCTGTGCAAAAAGAGCAAAGGGTGTTTGCAGGGCAGGAGGGCAGAGGAGGAGGCAGCGAGGGCAGAGGGAGCAGTGGGCGGATCTACCGCCTCTCCCAGGGGGTCCAGATGCAAGCAAGGGGCTTCCTTCTTCTCCATGCAAGGGCCACCCATGTATTCAGAGCAGTCCTTTGCAGATTAACTCTTAAGTTCCATGGGATCTACTCTCAGGCCACTAATGTGCATACCATGCCAGCCTTAAGAAGGGAGGTGGGACAGGCAGGTGAAAGGAATTGCCAAAGGTGTTTGAAAATGGGCAGGGGCTCCTGGGAAGGGGTCTTTTGTATGCAACAACTGCAGTGGGGATGCTGATTGCCAGGGATAGAAAGGAGATAAAATTCCATCAGAAGAGGAGTGGCAAGTAAAAATCCTTCAATATATAGAAGTAGCATAGATGACGGAAAAGATAAGAAATCGATCGACCCAAAAGTTTAAAAGGGAATGGGAGCTCTATAGACAATATTTAAAAGAACAGTGTCCCCTTATAAAAACTTTAAAATGCTTCGAATAACTCTCGGAATTGAATAAGGTACAAAGAATTCAGACAAGATTTAACAAAGATAAAGTTTATTGAAAAATAGAGGCACGCAATTAAGAAAATTGCCAACCTAGCAGTTCGAAAGCACATCAAAAGTAGATAAATAGGTACCGCTCTGGCAGGAGGGTAAATGGCGTTTTCATTCACTGCTCTGGTTCGCCAGAAGCGGCTTAGTCATGCTGTCCACATGACCCGGAAGCTGAGTGCAGACAAACGCCGGCTCCCTCGGCCAGTAAAGCGAGATGAGCATTGCAACCGCAGAATCATGCGTGACTGGACCTAATGGTCAGGGGTACCTTTACCTAATTAAGAAAATAAATAACCTATATCAAGGAAGTCGGAAGTTGATGGCTGGAATAATTTTGTGCATTCGTGATGTATTCTATTTCTTTTTGTAAGAAATGTATTGTGCTTTTTTGTTTTGTTTCTTTTCCTATTTATAAGCTTTTGTTGTGTGTGTGTGTGTGTGTGTGTGTGTGTGTGTTGATTTTAA